TGCTCCCGTACGACATTGACATTGATGCTTTTCCGGAAGACACCCCAGTTGCACCCCCACGTCATGCATACATTACTTTTTCACGTTTGTTGGAGCATGGTTTTACGAAGGGTTGCCCTGGATGTGATGGTGGTCACTACCGCCACAACAAGGCATGTCGCGAGCGATTTGATGCCATCTTCCCTAGAGAAGCTGCAGCGCCACCTACACCGGCGCCAGATGTCGGAGCACCGAAGACACCTGGACCGCTTCCAATGCCTAAGAGTTCAGAGAAAACCTCTTCTTCCTCTTCCACAGGAGCAGTAGAAAAGGAACATTGGGTTGAGCCGGAGACCACTGAAGGTCCCGAGTACTCTCCTGATGAGCTTCCCGAGGGGTATGTCCCACCGGAGGACGTTGCGGCTGGGGTGTACGCCCTGGTGACGAGACAGCTCACCCGGAACGAAGTGTTGTCCCGACCTGATGCACTGCAGGCGATCCGTAAGGAGTTCGATGGTGTTGGTTCCATGGGAACATGGGAGCTTGAGTCGGTTGATGAAGAGTTCCGCGTGAAGGAGGCTGCATTGCAGAGTGGAGAGACTATTCACATTGCAGACTTGCTTGCTATTTGCAGCGAAAAGCACGTTGAGTTGGCTCCAGAGCTTCGCGCTCTGAAAGGTCGCGTGTGCTATCGCGGTGATTCTGCAAAGACGGCTGAAGGAAAGCTAGCACTTTACCAGACGTTAGCTGCGTCTCCTGCTTCGATCGTTGCAGCCAATAGCGTTATTTCTTTTGGTCTTTTTGAGGGACACAAGTTGTCATCGGCAGACGCCGTTAAGGCGTACCTTCAATCGGAATTGAAGAGTTTGGCTGCCACATACATCCGTCTCCCAAGAGAGTTGTGGCCTGAGTCTTGGTTCACCCCAAGCGGCTACCCTCGCTTCAAAAGACCAATCATTAGATTGCGCAAATCGCTATACGGACACCCAGAAGCTGGGGCCCATTGGCAACAGTTTCTTGAAGAACAGTTGTGTCTCTTAGGAGCAGTCAAGGTTGAAGAGTTTGCATCCACCTTCACCATCCCCACCTTCGGAGGATTGGCGTTGGTTGTCTACGTGGACGACTTGATTCTCTCAGGACCAAGTCAGTGGCACGAGCCTTTCTGGGAGGCGTTGGGTGAAAAGGTGTTGATTGATGACATTGGACCGTTGGGTCGCTTCCTTGGTCGACACCACTCCACTGTCGAGGTTGACAACACAGAGTTCTTTGGCTTTGACATGCGTGCTTACGCTGAGGCTACTGTTCAAGAGTACTTGAGGGTTGCAAACAGCCCGAAGATGAAGGTAGTCGCGTCACCGTTTCTCAGCAAGGGGTTCGTTGGAGCAGAAGAGCGTGGTGCTCTGGCATCTTCAGCCAGCAGCATTCTGATGAGACTGATGTGGTTGGCACGCCTTGCTCGTCCCGACCTGCTGAGAGTTGTGACTTGGTTGGCAACCATGGTACAGTCCTGGACGCAAGCTTGTGATGCGTACCTGTACCGTGCCATGTGCTACCTCGAGTGTACCAAGAACGCTATGTTGCTTGGGCATGTGCGTGATGCGCCGGAGCATGTGTTTATTGAACTTTTCGCAGACGCAGACTACTGCGGAGACGATGATGACACCCACAGTACCACTGGTGGATGGCTACAGTTGTCTGGCCCGCGGACATCGTTTCCTTTGGCATGGCTGTCGAAGAAACAGACGGCTACGTGTCGAAGCACGACGGAGGCGGAGACTGTCGCATTGTCGTATGTGCTCTTTGAAGAGGGTTTACCATTGGTTGAGTTGTATTCCGCAATGCTTGGGCGTCCTGTGTTGTTGAGGCTTCGCGAAGACAACACTGCATGCGCGAAGGTCGTGACTGCTGGATACTCCAAGAAGTTGAGACATCTCAAGCGCGTACATCGCGTGAGTTTGGCTTCAGTGAAGGAACAGTTGGATCGCGATGACGTGGAACTGAGCCTTGTTGGAACAAGCGACCAGAAAGCCGATGCTTTCACAAAAGCAGTGGAGCCTGCACTATGGCCCAAAACCCTCCAAAACCTTGGAGTGCATCTTGATGGATACACCATCAAACACACCTCAGGCACTGGCCTGAAGCTGGACAAGCAGATGGCATTGCAGCCAGATACACCAACGACAGACGTAGCGACAGGACCTCAGGGCACGGCAGGCCCTACCCAGCCAGGGTACAAGAAACGGCAGAAACATAAGCCGAAGAGAATACCTCCGTACAGTGTGCCACAGAACCTTTCCGAACCAGCTGGATAGCCCGGGATTCAGAACTGATCCCAAGCCGTCGAGCAGCTCAGGAGTCAGAGGGGGGAGAAGAAATCCCTCAGCTAGAATCGTCCCCAAGAAGCACTGAGCTTGAGTGAGGTTGCACACTTCATGTATAGATGACACGTCATGTATAGTTGATGTCTAGGGGTACTTATCCAAGACTGGAATTGTCATGTAAAGACTTGCATCATCGGTAATCGGCTTTGCCGTTGCACTGTGGACGCCAACCTGATTTGGCTCAAGAACTTGAAGAAAAGGTGCCAGGGCCGTGAATGTCGTTCGAGATCGTATCGACCGCTGCCTTTGCATAAGAAAGTCAGGTTCCAGAGTTTATCTATGGTATGTGGAATTGATCAAATACATGCCATGGTCCATGATCATCATTTCTCATGTTTATCATTCTGGCGTTGAAGTCAAACAGACCTAAATCCAAGAATCCTCGCGGGCCTTGTTGCAGCCCTTGGCAGGTCTTCGACGGCTGCGCTCCCAAACGGCGCCGTGTGCTCGAGATCGTTTAGGCCACGCGATGGCACCCCACACCCAGCAGCAGACCACATGATGTGGTATAAGATATGAGCACTCGCCTTACATCATTCGTATAGCGCGACGAGTTTCAAGCACGGTAGTGGCACAGCCCATCTTAGGCAGTGCATTTCATACTGTATCCCTTTCTGTTTCCTGACCACTTCCATAGCGGATGCAGATCTTTGTACCGTCCGAACTTCAGTTGGTTTGGGTGTGGATAATGTGCTGGGCCAGAATGTTGTTCTGTTGTGGTGGGCCACTTGCCAAGCCAGTCTAGACTGCCGAGTTGTGGTAACCATTTGACCTTTGTCAAAGTCCTGCAGACGTTTGGAAGGTGAACTCGCTGCCCGTACCATGATGACATCAACCATCACTGACAGGCTGACTGAGAAACCATTGTTGGATGAAGGTGGTGATGAAAGGAGCGCAAAGAAGTAGGTCGCTGTTCATACAATTTGGACTCCGGATCGCACATCAGGATTTGCCAGGAAGAAAACCATCGAACAAAACACCAACCTTTTTTTTGGCCAATGATTGAAGCAATTGAGCCCATTGGAAAGGAGATTGAGTGAAAGTAGCACTTGAGTGTCCCCGTAAGATGACTTAGCAACGAGTCATGCCCGCTAGTGACGCTAGTGAAAGAGCACGCGAGAGAGTAAGAGTCTAGACGCAACACGAATAAAGTGAGTTTGGACGTTTAAGACGTCTTTGCAGAATGCCTTTAGGGCGGTCGCAAGTGCCATCAAAAACTTGCAAGAGGGAAGGTATTTGGGGACAAATCCCCCGTGTTGGTTTGTAGCTCGGGTTCACCAACTTGGGGAATGTCATCAATGTGACAAGTGAGCTGGAGTCTTGATATATGTGCGGTAGATCTACTGTATGTGTTTAAGATTACTTGGTGCTCTCCAAAGCGTGTTCTAAGCTCAACCTGTCCTGCAAATCAATATGGAACGCTTGCGGAGAGTCCAAGTAGGTCCAGTTACCGGTTACCAGATGACAGTTGCTGAGGGTCTGTCAATGTTGACACCGGGGTTGACCTGCTGGATTTCTTGGAGTTTGATGACGTTGCAGATTAACATTCATGAAGATCGAATTGCATCAACACGGAAAATCTAATCGTTTGTCCATCAGAGTTCTTACAGAGGTCCTTGAAATCAACGATCAAGCCCCATGGCTTTGTCAACTTGCCGGGCTCGTTTGGAAGACTTCCGAACTCTTTTGGCCCCAACGCCATCGTTGTGCCGTCGGCATCGCCAACGGTGCCGCCGGCATTTTCAGACGCTGGCTTGGTCACCGAGTATCGGATGCGATGTACAGAAATCCAAGGTTTTCGTCGAAAAGAACGACAGCAGAACGACGCCAGGTCAGTTCCAGCTGCAATCACACGAGTCAAGCAAACATCAAACAAAACATATCAAATTATATATGTGTATATGTATATACTCAAAATTATCACAGAACATCGTAGAACTGTGGGCTTCTTGTTCACTGGGCACCAACCAATTCTGTTGACCCTGCTGAGGCCCTCCTGAAATAGATTTCATGGACGTTTGTGTTGTTTGATGGCCTATTAAAGCTTGGCTAGAAACAGGCAGCATGTTAAGCCGAGAACAGTTAGGGTACATATACTGCAGAGCTGTTTTCGTTTGGTGCAATTCCGCAATTCCCCCTGGAGAAGACAAGTGGGGCGTTGCCAGAATATGCTTGTTTGTTTTTGATTTGTCTCATCCCGTCGTTGATGGACAGTCGGTGCGGTTGTTTTGTATTGATTTATGTTGGTCATACCACTGGAACAGGGGAATCAAGAATCCGATCGTTACAATCCATGTCCCTAGTGAGGCAATAAATGTAGATGCGAAATGATGTAGTCTATTGTCATGCTTTGCGATGCCTTGTGATTGATAGTTATGATAGTTATATATGGCCCACTTCGAAAGGATCGTTGCACCAAAGGAGGTTCCACTTGGCCCATACCGACTTCCCAACTGAGCTGGGAAGTGGTCCTGTCGCCGTCCCACATGCTTCCATATGGGTGTGCAATCTTTATAGTGAAACTTCCAGCCAAGCTCCCTGCAAACGGTTGTTATAATGGTTGGGTGGGCTCTCACCAATATGCATATTATGCTTGCATTTGTGTCAGGTATACAGATTCTTTCAGCTTCAGACCTGCAGGCATGCTGGACTACATGGCTGATGCCCGGCTTCGCTTGGGCCAGGCCCGCTCTTCCCACACGGGACCTCAGCCTCGCATGCCGGACCTCAGGCGGACTGCTTGGTGGTGCCACGCGGTGGTGCTCAGTTTGCCCAGCTGGTGGCATCTGAGTCCCTGGCCATGGCCCGGAGACCCGGGCGGTGAGAGGATGGTCCAACAGAAGGGTAGTGCACAGAAAGAGTTTGGCAAAAACCTCGTGGAATGGTGGCCAGTAGGAACACTGACTGCAACAAAAACCCACAAACCTTCGCAGAACTTCTGCACTAAGTTCATCTAACTTTGTATAAGCCTTTTTTCTCCTTTTTTGCTGACCCCCGTTCTCTACACACCCTCCGTTAGGAACCATTGCACGAAGAAGAGAGGAAGAGACCGTTCGTTCATTTCACTTGGATGGTGCATTTCCTTTTGTAGATGCTATAGGCTCCACGGCCTCACTGTTTCTAGCAGACTCCATGGCCTCGCTTTCCCCGAACTTTGAACCAGTTGTGAAACTACAGGAAAAAACATGGAAAACTGGTACCGCGTTCGTTTTCATTCCAGGGTTTGCGCATAGAATGTCGGCTTCGACCGGAGTTGGGGTTCTTCATGCCGTTGACAGACGAAGAAGTGCAAGTGAACCGATGAGGGGCCCAGGTTTTTGTAGCAAGACTCATTTTGTAGGATACGGACGTTGGGTCCCTAGCATATATGTGCAGATTTCACACGTGAACTTGATTCTAACATATTCTAACCTACTTTGGGTGCACCCATAATGTAGTGCAGATGTTTGCCGCCATTCTGGTCATGTTTGCACTTTGTTCAATATCGAAGAGACCTCAGAACAGACCGAAACACATCGCATCAACTTGAGATGTCGGGGCCAGGCGGCCATACCCAAGATAAAGGTTGGATCCCAACGATTCTGTACTGCAGATTTATTTTTGTATGATTTCGTGTACCTTGGAGCCACGCATTTCGTAGTGAAGCAGGGGTCGGGTCCTTTCAAACATATTGAGATTCTGTTGTGCTACAGAATGGGGGCCCCGACCCCACTACCCTAGTTGGAAAGGGGATCATTTTGTCACTGCCCCCAACAAAAAGAAGACAGAGCCCCCAATGTGCAAACATCCCAACGCTGCTCAGTTGGACTAGGGGATTGTGCAAAACCTCCGACGCTTCGACTGGTCCGTGCCGGCCCTGCGGATCGGCCAGGTCTCGAGTGTGCAAACTCAATGCAGCTTGGGCTTTGATTTGTCGGCCATTGGCTGCCTGCAGGTGCGATCCGCATCTTTCGACCGAAGAGTGACAGCATGTCATTCAAAAATTAAAAGGTTGTGATCAGAGCTGCTTTGCAAGTGGAATATTTGTGATTCATGATGGTGTTTGGGTGGCAAGTTGTGGCACCGTATCTAATTCCACCCCTTGAGGTCCCAAGAACGTAAAAGAAGACAAGGAGAACAAGAGTTTTATGTACAGTCTGTGAATGTTGGGGCATCCCTTGGGTCTCCCACGGACTCGGAGACCGCACTGTGCTGTTTCTGCTAGGACACGGGGAAGATCTTTTTCAGCAAGCAGTGCCTCAGACGGAAGGACCATGCCATGGCTGCGGAGAGTTTGACCACGCGAATTCGGGCGGGCTATATAAGCTGAGAAACTGAGCAAGAATGCACCAGAACATCCACTCACTTAGTAATTGAACAGCCTTTCCGACATGGAACTGATGGTATGCCGACCAGATCCGACCCATCCTTTCCACTTCATCCAGTGGCTGGATCTCCTTACCCAACATCGGCCTGATATAGATGTTGTGTTCTATTTCAATTCGCCTCCCCCTCTCCCCCAAAAAGATTGTGGCGTTGAATTCGTCAACTCCAGTTGATCGAAACCGCAGCCCGGTCACCCTGGCGAACCCTCCTGGGGCCCTTCGAGGTCAGACCCTCTAGTTCGGTGTACTAAACTCTTCCCACTTGAGGGGCCGGATGCTTAGGGTGCTCATGCGTGATCGCAATGTCATGGAATTTGCCATGTTGAGCCGAACTCGGGGCCGAAACGAACTTTGGACGTCGAGCCAGGGTGCACGTGCTTCAATGTAGTAGAAACATACCAAAGATACATACTTGACTATACTACTACTACGACGACAACGACGACGACGACTACTACTACTACTACTCCTGCTCCTGCTCCTGCTCCTGCTCCTACTGCTACTGCTCCTGCTCCTGCTCCTGCTCCTGCTGCTGCTGCTGCTGCTCCTTCTACTGCTGCTGCTCCTTCCACTGCTACCTGCTACTGCTACTGCTACTGCTACTGCTACTACTATTCCGTCCAAATGTATGAACCTTCGAGGGGCTTAAAGACACCCCTGTTGGTTTGTGTTCCTTGGGATTTGGTACTTGATGAGGCTGAGGCTGCCTTTTTTTCCTAGGCTGGTGTTTGTTCCAAGGTGGGGCTTCCGCTTGAACACCTTGAACGACCTGGTGGGTATGTCCGAGCGCATTTGCATCTTCGAAGCCGACTTTCAGAATGGAGACCGGCCGGGGCGCCTGACCCGAGGGACGAGTGGTCGTACGAGCGGTCGTACGAGCGGTGAACGCCAGCAGCGGTGCTTTGACCCCTTGAGCCAAGCCGGTGAGCTGACATTTTTGGAGAAGGGAAGACTGGAAGACCCTTAGGCTCCAAGTGCATCCTCGGAAGCTATGGATACTCCAGAAACATGCAGAAACCCATTCCAAACACCTTCCCATCCTTCTCATAGAGGTACTTGGAGCCCCCGAGAGAAGAATGCTCTACTAAAAGAAGAGAGCCACACACATGATGAGATGAGAAGATGATCTACCAGAAGTTCATGCAATGAAATGCCAATCGATGGATGCCAAAAATGAAGCCAGTTTCACCTCACTGCTGGAGCCTTTTCATTTGCCGAAAAGTATGTTTCGCTGGGATTGTGTCGCGTCATGCTATGTCACACTCGCCTCGTTTGAGGCGTGACATTCCAGCCATCCAGAACTTCAAGCTCCGCGCCACACGACCGGGAGTGATCCATGCTGTGATGGCATCCTGGGAGGCGAGATCCGGTAATCTTTTTCGGGCGGCGTATGGCAGCGTGGTTTGATGCAGGGTTGTGGGACTGCAAGTCTGTCCCGCGCTGTGCAGCCGAGACGCTCATGGTATTTCACACAATTTCACACATACTGTCACTGTATGTTTCCCCCCCCCACTTTCGTGAGGGTTGTTATATTATATTATATTATATATATAGAGAGAGAGAGTTTGTTTTTTTTACATATAGTCTATCATATAGTTTTCTCCTCCTTCTCCTTCTCCTTCTCCTTCTCCTTCTCCTTCTCCTCCGCCGCGGACCTCACAACAGCAAGCGCCGGGTCGCACTGGACAGTACCGGACCTCAGCACACAACATAACCACAAACACACAATACACAACACACAACCAACAAAACACGACCACAATACTAATACACAAACACAGAACACAAACAGACAAACCACGCACACAATCTAAAACACACAGCCTCGAACACGACCACAAACACACAACCACAAACACACAATCACAAACACACAATCACAAACACACAGCCACAAACACAAACACAAGCACACAAACACAAACACACAAACACAAACACAACCACGAACACACAATGACTGTGTTTGATTGTTTGTTCCCCACCATGACAGTGGACCATGATATGAAAACAAACGATTTGAAATGTCATGGTGGGGGTCACTCGAAGTAAAGTATGTTCTTAACGTGTCCAGTGTATGTAGGGCTGGGATGTTCGATTTAGGCGAAGCATACCCCGAAGCACACCCTCTGAACACGCTACTACTTTATATAAACTTCACATTGCACGAAGCATACCCGGAAGGATGTCCCCGAAGCAGACCTCCGAAACATATGTCAAACATCCCGGCCTGGGAACGTCAAAAATTGCAAAATTAGCATTGAAATGTATGCCAACAAAACCCAACAAATACCTTGCTGGACATGTCCAACGCTGCCCGCACTTGGCCACTTTGGTCTCGCACCTGACCACCTGACCGCAGGTCTGGAGCGATGAAGCGAAGACGCACAAGATCACGACTCATCCAGAGCTTGGGACATCAGTCAACCCACCCCAGTGAGTTTCCACCGCTCCCGCTCCGCAGGATCAGATGCGAGGGCATTCTGACGACAACCCCCTAGGGGCCTGCCGATCAGCAAAAAGTGGATCGTTTTAGGGACTTTTTGGGGGGAAGTTCCCGGAAGCCGAGAGAAGTTCCGTGGAACAAAACGGAACTCGAACTCCAGTAGAGAGCCGCTGAGCTGGAAAGCGCGTCGCCAGCCTCGCACCCAAGGAGGACACCAAAGACCAGCCCTGGGGCTTTGCACGAGATATGCAATGGGGACAAGGTCTTCAGCTCATTGAAGACTTTGACGCGGCGAACCGTGCAGGCTGTTTGGCTTTGTTTCTCACGACAAAGGAAGGATGTCCTTCAGTCTGTGGCACACATGGAAACCGGTTGCTACAAGCAAGCATCGCGAAGACAGAATGATCTCCAGTACTCCCCTTTGATGCCAAAACCCACATGCAAAGACTTCCCCCGATTGAAAGACATCCAATAAAGATAGTAAACCACAATGTTATTTGCAGGTCCAGAGTTGATTTGTTAAAGAGAGATTGCGATATGACATGCAACGGAAAAAGAATGAATACTGTAAAATTTAGATGATTTCGTATCATTGCTTAAACAAACCATGTTGAGTTTTGTCCTCCATTCTCTATTTTACCTAAGAATGTTGTACTGCTGACTACACCGACCAATTGCGAAGCCCAGGACTCATGTGCGTATCTTCGTCTCGTGTGCGACAGGCTCTCGGGAGGACGCTCCAAGCCCATTCATCGTCCAAGAGGGTGAGGACGAAGCCTTTTCCGCCGTTTCGCTGAGCGTTTGAAGGGCTTGATGATCTTTGAGTTCATTTTGTGGGGACTGGGGTGAATATGAAGTTGAACGTGAAATATTGCGATCGACCAGCTCCCCATTTGCAGGAGCTGCTGCTCACGGTGAGGATGAGCTTGCCGTGCCGGCAAACATTTCAGCACTTTGGGCTCCAATACAGTGTCACACACGCATGTTGGATGGGTGTAGTGTAGTGTCCAATCATTTTGTGCCAGGCCAATCCATGTGTCACAGTAGTTGTACAAGCAGTCTTGGGGGCGGAAGTCTGGAAATGGCCTCGAGGACCCAACAAAACAAGTTGTGGAATCAGATGCCTGGTGCATTCGATCGTGTTGTGGTCCTTGGGGCATTGCCCCTGGTGCATTCGAGCTTCTTGACTCAAGGTTTACTCTTCAGATGCGTGGCTGCGATGGAGTACACGGCCATTGCAGTTGGCTTATAAGTTTATAAGCAATTGGAATGTGATAGAATGTGACCAAGTTGCATGGGTCTCAAGTCTCAACCCTACTTGATCCTACTTGTATAGCTAATCCGTCCTGTGGTTTGCTCCAATTCTATTATTGCTTACAGTTGTCCGCTTTGCTGAAGTTACCGGCACCTTGTGACCTTGTTTGCCAAGGAGAGCCAAGAAGGGCGAAGAAGGCCTTCGTGATGCCCACGAGATCCCAAACGCTTAGCGCGCGTCCTTCTGTCCGGGGCAATTGGCCGAGCGGCCCGTGAGTGAAAATGGCGACCCACAGCCGCCCGCCCTTGTGGGCCACGGTCAGCAGGGGCGCATCGCGACCGGACGATTTGCTGAGACATCAATGGGGTGAGAAGGGCATTTGAATCAAAGACCTGCAGATCCGGAAGATCAGTGTTTGGATATGTTCGGATCATAGCCTCACCCACGCCCTTGGCGGGTTGAACCCGGAAAAAATACCCAATCGGTGGTACCTGGCGCTGACGCCTTTTATTCCTCCCAAGAACCGGACGTCATCGGTTTGGTGTTTGGGGTGTCCTTTGTGTTTGCAGGACGCAAAGGACCATCTCAACTCATCTCCCCCAACCTGGATGCATTTGGATGTGGCACCTTCAGGAGCTGGCGCCAGACACTGCAATGTACTGTACTGGTCTTGGATCGAGCGGCTGTCCTGGTCGTGCACCTTTTTTTGGTTCGCTGGATGAGCCCTGTTTGTATTGCACCGAGTGGTTTCATTGATGCCAAATCCTCCAAGATCAACGATTCAAGACTCTCCTGAAGGTTTAGAAGAAGTGTTGTTCTCCTTCAGTGATTTCGGGGGGGGGGAATACCAGTGCTTTTTAAAGGGGTGTTCATGTATAGCTTCTTAGAGGTTACGGGATTTCCATTAACCACCGCTTGTCAGTGCTGGTAACACCACCATCAGATCCCCAGGAATGGCCACACCCCACGTAGCAGCCGAGGTGCAACCATCAGTGCCTGCCAGAGAGTGCACATGTTCCCCGCTCAGGGGAGTCGTGCGACTCGTGACTCGAGCCAGCTGTTTATATTTTGCATATTTATTTAGCGTGGTGTTTCCACCGTTATGCTGAGTCATTTGTTATATCTATAAAGGTCCAACCTACAGCTAGAAATGTGGGATGATTCCATCCGTATTGAGTGACTCACTCAATCTATCAGGGTGGCTATCAAGCATCCAGCAGCGCCATTGGACAAACCCCCCCACTTCCTGCGCTGGGCGGCTGGCCGCCGGGTCCCCGAGGTGGGAAGCAGCCTTGGAGCTGCTGACGCAGGCGGTACCGGTGGGTGTCGACCGGAGAAGTCCGAGTGTCTCGGAGGCGATTTTGGGTTTGGCTTAGGGGGGGTCGGATCCTTCAGATCCGAGGGTTCGTAGTCTCATGGTAGTCTCTTTGGATAAGCCACTCAAATGGTGCTGGCGGGTGGAGTCGCAATGTTGGAGCTGTGTTGGTTTTCCTCGCACCTATGACCTCACTCCCTGAATAGAGTTATCTTGGTCGGCATTGGTTCCATTCTGAAAATGAAGTGAACCAGCTCAGCTGTCCAAGAGGCTTGGAACTTGGGTGCTAGTGCGGTGCTGCACAGTGCAACCATGAGCGCGCCCAGAAGCCCAGAGTGGTCGGTCGAAGCGCAGCGGCGCAGCGCAGCGATGGAGTTGCAGTTTGAATTCACTGGACCTGGCCCTGTCTCGATCTCGCGGGTGTTTGGCGTTGTTTTGGGGAACAGTCAGTTCTTGTTTGGTTCTTGCGGCATGGTCAGAAGAGTTTCACTTCCGGACGAGGACCTACGTGGATGATGTGCAGAGTGCAGACTCAATCCCGGAGAGACTCCGAAGTGCCCCAGGTTTGAGAAGGCCAGACGATGGGAACTCGCCTCTAGCTCAGTGCCTGAACCAGCTAGCTCAGTGCCTGAACCAGTAATAGTTCGGTCCCGACCTCGGTTCATGGTTTGGTGAGAGAGACGGGCTGACCCCACGGATTGTGTTTTGACATGTTTTGACAGAAACTGCTCCCGTACCAGAGTACCTAAAAGACCCAGGCCCTTCATGTGTGGGCAAGCTCTCAGACTGGGTACGGCAGCCAAGGGTTTGCAGGTGACAGATCGAATTGCATGCAATCCACAACAACCTACTTGGCCACCTGAGACCATATTTTACATTTTACAGGCTTTTCCACGCTTTTTTGCATAGCAGGCCAGTCATCAGCTGCTCCTTTCCAGTGGTCCCCTAACGGATCGACAGTGAAGCAAGGAATTCGGACTTGAACCCATAATGGTCCACAAGTTGTTGTTGTGGTTGTTGTTTCCACAACAGATGAGATTGGGTTTCATTGCCGCTTAGTTGAAACATGTTGAAACAAACAGGAAAAAACCTTGCTGCATCAGAGCAGACTCATTTTGCGCGGAGCTTTTTAAGGCTCAGAGGCATTGCCAGCATGACAATGAGAGACCAATGAATTGACCGCGCCGCAAGATGAAACACATCATTCCGATCATTCCTCATTTACGAGAATCTCAAGTGCCCTTGCTGACTTGCAAATTCCGCAGTATCTTCAGTGTCGAGATGGTGTACTTCTGGGTCACTATGTATATATATATAGATTCTAGTTACTTAGTATGATATGTGCAGAGTTGCCGGAGTCCTCGGACGGACTTTGATCCAGCACCATCAACACTATTTTACATACTGTACGTAATGTATAATATATATATATATATTTATATTTCACAAGGAACTTCAAACAAATCCATTTCGGGTGTGAGGGAGGAGCAGGCAGACGAAGCCATAAAATGGAGAGTAGAGGCACACTTGGCAAGAAGTTCTGCTTCTACAAGCTGTCGATGCAGATTTTCATGCTTCAGCCGATGGCCATGCATGATGCAGCAGGCTGCGTACGAGCTTTGGCTTGTATTGTTGCGAAACTTTCATGGTGAAGTCCTGATAGTCCTGGCATGTCCATTCTTCTTTGCATTGCCAAGTGTGATCTATTTGGATGATTGTAGAGACATGCTTGTGGATCTAGCCATCGATCTTGGGTTTATCTTCCATCTTTGAAGGTGGATTTATGTTAGCCAAGATCTTCAAAGGTTTTTTTGTTCTGTGTCTCCGAAGCCAGATGTTCATCGGCCAGAAACGGCTAGAAGACACAAAGATGAACCTTGTTCGGAACCAAGCCGAGCAACTTGCGCCTGGCGCTTTCCTTCGGAGGTTTTGGGTGACCCAGCCGGGTAACTGAGAACGCCACACGACGGACGTGCCAAGGACTTGCCACATGTCAATCTGGTGTTCATTGGGCCTTCTGGCAGTGGCAAATCCACGATGCTTGGTCATCTCATCGCAGAGAGCGGTGCGATTGCCACTTCGCCTGACAACTCAGTGAGAGTCGAGACATGTCGGTGGATGCGGTGACTCCTAGCGACATTTTTGGTGACACCATCGTGTCCCGCCCATCGGGTCGATATTCGATCGGCATGTTCAGGCTGGCATTGTCCCAGAATCAGAGTGTCTCCAATGCTGGATGGGGGGAGGAGGAGCTGCTAGTGGATTCGTTCGGCCCCTGGGATGCTCGTTGGCCTGGGAACTCCGCATTTCAGCCAAGGACGCTGATAATCTTCAACGAATCTTTGACGAAGCGAAAGACCTAGGCAGGATATCAATCAAAGCAGTCATGGGTGCTCTCTCAGTGGTTCATCATTTCAAACCCAAAGTGTCCAGGTCCAGGGTTTACAATATCGCATATCTCAGCTTTTAATCATATGCAATCCCGGAAAAAGTGGACCTGTAGGGACCCAGGACTTGTACAGCGCCTTCATCCTTTCACACCGGTGCCGTTCACACCGATGCGTCTCGGTGCTCGGTCCGCACGCTGCTCGGTGAACGACGGTGCGCCGTCCGTCGTGAAAGCATCGATGGTTTCTAGTGCTGGGTTGATGGGTAGGGGATACACCAGAGTCCTTTTTCGGGGGTCCGGTCCATTTAGGTCAATATTCTATACATGGAGTGTTTGAGTATGCCATAGTATGCCATATGCATGCTACCTGGCACTGACTCAGACCCTTCTTATGTTAAGTATTGTTAAGTTATATATTTTGGCAAGAGGGCAAGATTGGTTCCAAGTGCTGGCCCGGCAATCACTTTCACGACACTGTGCCGGTAGAACTCCAATACCTCTTAGAGCCCGATCTCCACCTCAACCGCCATCCAAGGCCATCATTGTCAGGATGACAAGTCATTGTAACAGTATTACATAATATGTTGCATGTAACATCATGTAACATAGTCTAACATAGTTACATAATTGTTACTGTAAACTATTTAATGTGCAGTTGACCGTTTAGATACTATGCCCACATATCTCATTGCATGTGTAATATATATATATATACATAGCTTGTATTACATTAAATCATGTGTCGTGTTTTATTTGTCGGAATATGCTAAAACAAGAACCATTCCAAAATAAGAAAATTACCAAATTGCTACTGTGCATTCTTTTGTCAAAGCACTGCCAACAAGTAAGCATTGAAGCTGTCAAAATGGAGTGCAGATGACACGAGACAGTTTGTTTTCCTAAGAAGCACAACATGTCAACACATATAGAAAGGTAGCAAATAATAACAATATGCAGTAGAACTCATCAAAACATTGACCTTGATGTCAAAAGACGTTCAAAGGAACCAACGCGTTTCCCAACGGAATTCAGAAGGCTTCAAAAGGCAACCCAAAAAGCTTTAAACAGTCACAGGAGTAGATTTGCATATCAAACTGGAACTTCTGTTGAGGGATTCAACATAAAATACCTGTCTCAAGGAAGTCAACAGGAATCAACAAGGAAATATAAGGAATTGAACCAAGATCAATGGAAATGAAGAAGGAACCCAGCAAAAGTTAAAGTATCTCGAAGATGCTTCCTCACCGTATTGGTGAAGGACTTATTCGTCCGGTTTGGGCAGTTATCTGGTGAGAACGGACGATGGCTCCAGGCCACACGTTGCATGCACGCTGAAGAGGAACCATGTGGCCACTCCATGGCGTTTTACCACTGGACCACTGCAACCTACTATAACGTACTCTGATACATTTGTCTATGCCTCCGCCCATTGGCCATTGGCCCATTAGCCCTCATGTTTTCAAATCCCTATACCTAGCCTTCCAAGACCTCAAAAAGGGGCCTCCAGTTTCTTCCTGGTCTTCTTGTCTAAAACCCTTAGTTGAACAACGTTTGCTCAGTCAAAAGCATAAAACCAATGGTGGTTGGAAGCTCAGGAAGTTGGTGGATTCGGCCTGATGGGCACTCTCCAACCAAACACATCACATGGAAGATCATGGAACCATGTGATGTGCTTGTCGCAGGGTACAATAATATTCAGATTCAGATCAATCTTCTGCATCAGTCAAGGATTTGTCCATAGTGCATTTCCAAATCCTGCATTTGGATATTCACTCTCCCAGATATCGATGGAGAGAGAGATTCAATCTCCGCAGGAAAGGGTTCATGTTCCATGTGGACTTGGATAAAATTGTGCCACCGGATCAATGGTCGGACTGATTCTTGTTCGTGAGAAAGCGGCGTTCTTTCTCGGAGTGAAGCCAAGTGGTTTGGACCGGGAGCGAAGACCGTGCCAACGACCTCGCTGGGACATCGTGAGCGGCGGCGAAACTCGTGCCGGGGAGAACAGAATGAAAGAACCATAAGTTTGGTGGGGGAGTCATGGAGAGTCATCATATGTGCCATCAAACGACATGTGGAGTGGGTTGTGGTACTCAGCTTCCCCAAATACGTTCGTTTGTGGGCTTTGACTCTAATTGGCGGCTTGGCTTGGTGTTATTTTCTCCAGTCTTGGAACATCCAGCCATTTTCTTCCAACAGCGGCTAGGCTATCCAGAGCGGTGCTATGCCTGGATTCTGGACAAGTTGAGCTGCGAGAAACAGCGCGGCAGCAGCATGTACATCGCCATGTGGAGGCCCAAGACGGGCTGAAAGGGGCCCCTCCTTGGACTGAAAAGAGCTCAATTGAAACGAAGCTAGGAATCCGGTAGGAGCCTCCAGTGTGACACAGTTATAGTTTTCTTCACCTCGCATGCCCTTTCAGTATGGTCTGTTTAGATGCCCAAATCATGTCGGGCATGCTTATGGGTCCTTCACTAGGGCGTTTTATCTTTACGGGATGCGGTTTATGAGAATGGATCTCGCAGGCTGGCATCACGAAGATGTCGCTTCACCATCATGGATGCACCTGGGCACAGCGACTTTTCCAAAGACATGGTCACTGCGATGTCGCAGGTGTGGGTTCAGAGGATGTGATGGTCGGATTGAAACCCGTGCCAATCAATAAAAAGGCAAACCTTGAGTCAACCGGCATGCTTGAGAGAGATTGGTCTAGCAAATTTTGAACCAACAGCTCTTTTTGCCCTCAAGCAGGCTGACATCGCTGTGCTGGTTGTACCTGCAGCAGAAGAGCTGGAACAAGAGAAGGACTGCGTTCCGAGTTTGCCCGGGGTCCCCGAAACCTGAAACACACGATGTGTTGCTGCGGAGCCATGGGGGTGCTATGCGGAGCCTGCGGAGCCTGGGAACCTGTTTGTTGAACATTCTCCAGGTGTTGATCACCCCGTGCCTCCAATCTTTTTACCAAGCAAAGGGTCTTCCAATTTATTGTTTGAATTCTGTTGCAAGTGTGTTGTGGTTGCCCCTGGCCAGCATCTACAGCCAGTGACCCTAAGGAGAACAGAAATATCCAATGCATCCCTGGAAAAAGGGAATACATGGGAAATCCTTCATGTCATAATGTAACATGTCATAACCATGTTATATTATATTCTTGTTGTTTTGTATTCATGAAGAACCACCCGGCTTCTGGCTCATCTCACACTCCACTTGGTTCGATTCTTTGCGGTTCCACGGCGCCCCGTCCGGCGTTCCCCGGGTCGAAGGGATGGGGGACACGACTGCGGCAGGAAGGTCAACTGCGTGAACATACGTTGCTGGCCTACACGCTCGGCTTGCGCAGGCAGGGTGACCCTGTCGATTGGGAGACGAGACGAGACGCCGCACAGTGGTGTTTTGGAGGTTTGGACGGGACTGAGGAAGCCAGCAGTAGCCTAAGGCACAGTATGCGTAAGGCGGCAGAATCACTGAAGGTACTGTAGGCTTGCAAGTGCAAACGGGATATAACGGGATACAATGCATGGACGGGCATGGTTTGGTTGACTTGCTTTTCTCTCACATAGCGAATTCTTTCCTCCAACGCGGCACTTTCAGAACTTCCATGTCAAGCACTGCTAATGCTCAAGACGATTCACCCATCAGATTTCTTCTGGACCAACGTTTGGAGTGTGCTGTGTTTGGTGTGCGGTTCTGGATGTCAGGACTCATGGGTCATGGTTTGCATGTCGACTTGGCAGGATGGTGGTGTGTGTGAACAAGATGGACGCTGATGCGGTGCGCTTCTCTCAAGAGCGCTTTTTGGCTGCGTGCCAAGTTGCAACTTGGACGAGAAGTGGAAGCCTCCAACAATCTCCAAGAGGTATAGATCCAACATTTTCCAGCATACTGGCCTTTTTGTGACCTGTAGTATGGCCATGTGTGCTTCAAAAACCTTTTGGGAGTCAATCCACGCGTGCTTGGTGAGGTCCGTGAGGGCTTGAATGCTGCAGGGCTCAAAACCCACGACGTGTACTTCGACGTGCACTTTGTGCCATCATCTGGTTGGTTTGGAGCAGCTCGCCTTCAATCATTGTGATGCAACAAATGGGGTCATGATTTCACACATTACTGGTATGATACCACATTATCACATTGATGCAGGAAATGCTCCAATTCCGAAACCTCATCCTTGAAGAAGGAACTACCTTGCATGTGTCCTTGTGCAATATGAGTATTTGGCACAAGATCTACAGTACATGCATGTTATGTCGAGATTTCTCCCATCAAAATCAAGGGTTCTAGAACTTCACCTGAGTTGATCATGCTGCTTCCCGGCGCTGCAGGACAACGTCACAAGCCGTTCAGACAACATGCCGTGGTATTGTGGGCCAACACTCATAGAGGCCCAGAAACTTGGCTGTGGCTAGCGCTATCATATCATATGAAATCCCTGGCCATCCCTGGCCCGAAAATCAGAACATGCACCGGAAGAGTCGATGTTGTTTTGTTGTTCATGTTCGGTCCTTCAAATCATTGTGGCTTCGTCGCAGGCACTGGACGAGACGGTGGCTTCGCACTTCAAGCCTGATCGACCCTTGCGCTTTCCATTGCAAGAGGCTCGAGGATGCCAGTATTGTTGGATCGGAATTGGTAAACAGGATGTCTTCTTCGCTTTTGTCTAAACAAATGGGTGATCGCCTTTAATGAAACTATATACCAAGACAAATCTGGATTCCTGGGAGGATTCCTTTTGCAATTGATTGTTGTATAAATTCATTGTCCTTTCATGGATTGTATTTACGTTCCTTTCATAGATTGCAATAAATGCCCTTTCTCAGGTTCTTTGCAGTTATTCTCAGCCTCAGATCTTCAGCTCAGAAATATTGTTTGAAGAAGAACATAGAAGAACTAGAGAAACTGAACCTATATCAATTAAAGTCAAATAAGTTGTATAATTGCCATGCCATGGCTTTAGTAGTATTAAGATGTTCAGACACGAATATTCTCTGGGGTGACAAGAAACATTTCTTAATTGACAACTCATTTAACATACCTATTATTGAGGATCAGGTGCCTTGCTGGTCTAGTGAGTCTAGTACCTTGAAACTTTGTTTAGAGGATATATAGATAAAGGAATTGGTGGCTTTGGGAAGCTGTTTGTTACTGTATAGTTGCAAATAAGTTCCACCATCGACTGTATGGATAGGAAGACATATATGAAGAAAAGGATGTTGAAGCCCATGCGTGTGGACCTTGAAAAGCTGGCAGGTGATGAAAGTTGGTGGCAAAGGCGCCTCGGACCTGTTGGAGACGCCCACCTTCCCCTACAGTGTTACAGAGGGGTGGGCCAAGCTTTTACATGTTTTTACCAGTTTGGATCAGTAGAGACATTGCCTCTTGACACCTTTAGTAGGCTGGAGATTCTCGACATGGTGCAGCCACGTCCAATTCTTCGGCCGCCCAGGCACGGTGGTGGTCGGACGTGTGGCCACTGGCTCCTTCAGCGTCGGCTCACGGCTCCTATTCGCGCCAGGACAGGTGCAGGCGCAGGCGGGCGGGCTCGGCTCGAAGCTCGGCGCTTGAAAGCCTTTCAGTTGGGTGGGAGAAAAGTGTGCGAACGCAAGGCCTGATCGTGCTGGGAATGTGACCATTGAGGGTGAGTGCAGTGCGCCCAACATGGGAGGTCACCTCCATCACCATGCAGCACGAGGTGCTTGATGAGGCGAGGGATGGAGTATGATGGAGTGGAGCAAGGGCACCAGCCCTAACTGGAAGACTCATGGCATGTCATGGCTAACAGTGACTACATCATATCCATATCACAAATCACTCATCTACAGAAACTTGGCAGCTGCCTGTGGCAGATCCAGCGGCTTTTGGGCCCATGATTCCACCTTTGAATGGAATCCTCCTTTGACTATCGGCCACCTTTGACCTGTTCACGGCGGGTTCACCATCCACTGCACTGTTTTTCTGCCCCCCATCCCCCCGAAAACAGGCTTGCAACAGCTGTTGCATTCCCATTGGGCCCAATGGGTGCTGAATTTCTCACACCGTCGACCAGCGGCCGCCCACCCAGGCTTCCAGCGGACACATGGTCTCCGTTTGCCTTGACGTGGAGATGAGCGAGCTGAAACGTGGTACCCTGATAGCGGGCATATGTCCAGAAAGTGCTTGAAACATCATTTTTGAATGTGGAGATCATGGGAGGCCTAAAGATGCTGTCTTAAGACATTTTCAGCCCATGGTTTGCCTCTTACGAAGCAATAGCCTGCCAGACTTGATTATTTACCCAGACCCGGCAAAAAGACGCATGCTGTTCTTTTCGGGTGAAGCTTGCAAGAACAAACACAATTTTGGTGACGATGTTTGTTGTTTTGTCACTTGTGCGTTATGTTGGTGTCACGTTTTCTATCGCCAATGTGCAGCATGTGTTTTTGATGTTTTTTATGTACTGTTTTCCGGCGAGACGGAAACAAAAGTTAAGGGATATATGTTCCTTTATATACACTTGTTCAGAGCTTCCATGTGTGACGTGACCAGCACATGACGAGCACGTGGTCCTTCCCATTATGACCGTGTGGCTCCCGATGCGCCTAGTGGCACGGCAAGGTATGGTAGGATCCTCTGTGGATGACAACCCTGCTCGAGAGCATCTTGTCTCAAAGTGGTCGCGGATCCACGCGCTGTTGGTCGAGCGCTTCTCTCAAGATGCCGACATGTTGGTCTTATTGACTTGTGGGACGGTGAATGAAGTGAATCCTGATCATACTGGTAAGAATCGTCGTCCCTTAGAATGTAGCACCATCTCGAAAACAAACAAGGGGTTCGCTCGCCGCTTCTAAGATTCTCATGATGAGAGATGCAATTGTTGGAGGGTCAAAGACACAGAGAAAGCATGAGAAAGGGAGATGAGTCTCTAGAATGACAGATCACTTTAGTCCGACGGTGTGAGGTTTCCAGTGCCAGTGCCATTTGCTCATATAGCAATGAAGGAGGGTATAGACTAGCAATCGTCTCACGTTTGTGTTCATCACAAGTGTTTTTCCCTGAGTTATATATATATATAGTACAGTTTGTTTTCCTCCCCACCTGCACATCATCAAATCTAGCAAGTTGATGTAATTTGGACAAATGGATGAGTCTCAAACGGCTACGCCAAGCCAGCAACATACAAATGCATCGTTACCTACGCAGTTTCAACCCAAACTGATTCAAGCAAAGCTCTCAAAGGACTACAATGAATAATATGGCCTCTTAATTGTTGACTTGTTGTTGGCTGTTTATTTTGCTTCCATGGTGCAACTGGATGTGTTTCCTCTTTTTGGTTCACCTTCGCTTTTGACCCCTACTCCGCTCTGCTGTGGAAAAGTGCAAACCAATACGACCCTGGAAAAGTGCAGGTGCTTGTCATTCGTTCCATTTTTCACGGGGTGCCGTAGAATCTAGCCCGCTATGAGCTCGCCCGATGGTTAGCTCAATCCGGCTCGCGTGGCCTCAGGTGTTCCTCCTTCGTGGCGCAAGTGATTGTTCTCAGTGATCCCCGCGCCGGTGCCATCCACGCTGGCAGCGAACTCACTGTCTTGTGACTCTTGGATTTGAGGATCGGGTCGATCCACCGTTTCGCGTTTCGCACGCGCGTCCTTTCCCTACGAAGGGGGAGTTGCGATACGACGTGCATGTTTTCTCATGCCTTTAGGATTCTATATAATATATACCTAGAGACTCCACTGGTACACAATGTATTCCGCCTCATCAGCTTCAAGAAATTTATTCCGCTTGAAGAATTTCTGTCGAAGCTTGCGTTTCAGCGGGTTGCCTATTGTAGGCCTGTGAGATAGAAATGTGCAGGAATGCCTTCAAGCTAATTATTTGCATACCCTCCAAAAAAGCACTAAAAAATACGCCGTTTGGTTGGGAAATTACGCCGTTTCAAAAATGACATGTTTTGAAACATCGTCCCCAGAGGGTTTCCAACCTGGCATTTGATAGATGTGCTCTCTTAGCTTGAAATGCTAACTTCTCAACCGCACAATCTTCACCAAATCAAAACCATAAAAATCAAAAATCTTCCGCCTCGCCAGATTTACGCCGTTTCAAGCAAGACTAGTTGAATAGTAAGTTTTTGGAGGTGACCTAAGTAATTTGCACACCTCCGGTTTCCATATATAGGTATACTGTAGCTTTATGTGCTGCTATATTATGCTTCTAGCACTTTTTACATTAACACTAGGCTAGGCTCAAAACATCCGTGGGGTTCGGTTTAGTAGAGTCGTCGTGAGTCATGAGATGTCTTGACGTTCTCCGCGAATCGTGGGGTGGGGTGAGAACATGTCGACGATCTTCCGGCATCTCGATGCTCTCTTCGCATTTCTTTTGGATCGACTAGGGAACTGGAGATTTGGAAAAGGAATGAACAGGAAATGTCAGTGGAAATGTCCTAAAAGAAGAAAGATATTAACAAAAGGATCAAACAGGTAAACACATGTGGTTCTTGATTCTTGAACCATTTTGAAGCTTTCGAATTTATATTGGGGCCTTACCAACTTTTTCCTTCTTCAAGCGGAGGTTCCTGGGTGTCACTTGTGTCGCAGTGTTGGTTCTGTACTTGAACCAGATGCAGCCACATTAATCGGCCATGACTAAATTTGGGAGAAGAGTTGTTCACTAGATTTGTGCAAGATCACTTTTGAGGCCATACAGCACAAGTTCTGTGTGCATTTCAAGAGCTGCTGTCGCGAACCGATCGTCGAACAGGCTGGACGATGCACGGCACAACCAAGTAGACAGACGTTTGATGTGTTGTTTTTTTCACGAGTCTGTGTGCCAAGTTGCATGGTGAATGGTTTGTGCATGCCTTTGCATTCTCCACAGGTCCGATTTTATGGTTTGCGCCTTTTCAACCCTGCCCTAAGAGTCACGAGCCATGTGAAATCTTGGGTGGATGGAGAGGCGGGCAGGTTTGTTTCCTGTCTTTTCATCGGAATTCATGGATCAATGGTCAAATCACATCCTTTGGAAGTTCGATTTTTTGACGACCCCGCAGGTCAAGTCTTGGGCTTGCGCCCCACAGAACTGCGAGCGGGCGATGCTGCGGTGGTTCGCTTAAAGCCTTTGGCCTCGCTGCCCGCACTGTGTGTCGAAGCGTTTGAGGCCGGGGGCAAACTGAAGAAAATGAAGAATGAGATGAAGCATAGGAAGAAGAATAAGCCTTTCTCGAGGAGATATGGAGCCGTTACTGACATGCAGCTATAACTGCAGGTTCAGAACCGTGGCGACCCGGGGTTCGCATGCCTCACAGTTGTGCCAGCTGTGCCACTCAACACCGAGTTTGGGGTGGCAGTTGGGGTCCCCTGCCGATGCAAAAGTTGAGTTCTTGGTAGTTCTCCTTCAACCTGTCGTTCTCGTTCGACCCCTTTGTCTTGGGAGTTTGCGAATTGAGTTGCCACCCTACCCAGGTATATATATATATAATATGATTTAATATGTATGTATATATATATATGCCTACAATATATATATATATGTTACATATCCATGCGGTTCATGCAATATATAGACAGCCAGCTTGGTCAAACCATTTGCCAACCCATCCAAAACTCACACAGGACTCTTAAAAGCCGGGATTCACTCCTCGAATGTTTGAGAGGTGGGCTAGCAGGAATCTGTAGCGCCATTCAAGGCCAATCAGGCCACTGCGCCACACCTGTGGTACAGACCACGCCACTGGGAGCACGCGGTCTGGCGAAGAAAAGCCCTGGGCCTGGTTAGCGCCAGGAGTATCCAGCACTCGGGCGCTTCTCAGTGCATGACCAGAAGATCACCGTAGCGGTCGGCGTGGTGCAGAAGGCCCAGATGCAACCGGAAGAAGACGGGTCCCTGATAATCTGGGTGATTTCACAAGACATGTGGTGCAGTGGTGGATTCCCTTCTCTTTTTGTTCTCCGGTTAGGGTCCAGAACCCAATGAGCACGGCGTTTGTATTGTTAAGCATGCCGGGTTTTGGAGACTATAGGTCTCTATATACTGTAATTAGGGATCGTAAGAAATGATTTGGTTGTGCAAGAACCGCGGTTCTGAGAGGATTGAGTTTTGCTTCAGATCTCTTGAGCCCGGGACCAGGTGGAGCATGCCGCACCGGCAGCGGTCCCTCGTGCTCCCCGGATCCTGCGAAGCGCTTCGCCGAAGCAGCGCGGGAGTTGACGGGACTCTCTGGGGAAGGTGTGTTCTGAAGCGGCTGCTGCCGTTTCTCGGAGAAGCGGTAAAAAAGGACTCAACAGTTCCTTTTGCTCAGCAAGTGCTGAGTCGAGTTTTAGTTCATTTTGGTTTTTACTTTTTCAGATGGTATGCGCATGAAGAGGAACATGAGCCCCATTCTGGGTCCCCATTCATTGATCATGATATATCATGATCAATCGACCAGCCTGTCAAGTCCCTTGTGTCAAGCCAACGCTATTGGCATGACGCGCCCGCGGGCGACAACGTGCCCGCGTGTTCCTGCGTGTTGCTGTTCGCACTGCAAGGTCAGATACTGATGTCCCCCATGGTGCAAGCAGTGAGTACAAACCGATCATACCGTCATTCCATGTCTCAAACACTTCACCCATCTTCACCCTTGTGAAACCACTGTGACCAACACATGCTTCACCAACTGTCCTTTTTTCTCCGCGGTGACCATACACAAAAAAGAACGTCCCAAGCTACGTCCCGATGTCCCTAGCTTCAACGTATCACGTCACGTCGTCACAGCAACGACTTGGCCGCAACCGCCGACCACGAGCTGTCCATCTTCTGCCCCAGCGTCCGCTCAGGTGCGCCAAAGCCTCGGCCGAAGCGGCTGCACCGGCCGGTGGATTCGGGCGAGGAGCAGGAGAAGGGTTGTTGGTTGGTGGTGTGTGTTTTTGGGAGAGACATGGCTGTAGGGGGTCTACCTGGAAGGTTGTTGGCTACAATGGTGGACCAGAGCTCCAAGTCTTGACACAACATGAACGCCATCTACTGTGGACAGTGTGGACTTGAACGCCATTTCTCTCGGCGGTTGTTGCTGGATGTTGCCTGTGACCACATGACCTGGAAAGATTTGACAGGATCCTTGAAATTTCCTCATGTGCATTTGTTTACTGCCAGTCTGCAGAACAGTGGATTTGTGCCCTGGATGATGGCGAAAATGTCCATGTTTTGCATGTTTTTGATGTATTTGGACCTTGACAATTGTTTAAACCGCTTCAGACAGGGATGATTTCTTCGTCTCTTCGGACTAATTATTCAAGAGCGCGCACACATCGAGCGCGCGCGGTCGTCAGGAGGCGCCTGTATTGATGCCATCGCTCCCACCGGCCCAAAACCCAGAATCGCCCAGTTGGCATGGTTTCACCATGGTTTCACCCTTTTTTTTTCCGGAAAAAACATGGTTTCACCTATTATATAATAGGATTCCCCGTCCCTGTAAAATTCATTCAGGGGACGGGACGGGTGATGTAAAAGGCCTTGACTTTTGGAAATGTCATAAGCAGCTTTTACTTCAGGACGTGTCATGCAGTGGCGTTTGAAGCAGGAAAATGTTTTGAGTGAATTTGAGTGGAACTTGTTCGATGGTTATTCCGATGCCCGGCTGAAAGTCTTGGTTACAACGCAACTCTGCGGTCCTGCAGGCCCGTGTTTCCAGCCAAGCTGTCAATCGCATGCGTTGGATCATGGATCATGCAAGCTTTTGCGTCGCCTGTGCCGAGCACACCTACACGCCAGTGTTCACCACGTGTTCTCCATTTTGCAGGTTCCTCTTGATACTTGTACTTCCTTTCCTCGCCACATGACAGCTTGAGGCCTCTCCCACTCGCCGCACGCGCTCCGGCTACTGCTCGGTGTCACAGGCCCTGGCGCTACAGCGCCGGTGTTGGGAGTGAATATGCTTTGAGGGCTGACATAATCAACAGAGAGAGACGTGTCGGAGATTAAACGTGGTAGGTGGTGACCACTTTGGTTGGGAAGTTGTGCAGGACGACCACGGGGTCCATCAAAACTCCCCACTTCGGGATTGTAGGGCGATGCGAGGGCCTTCAGAATGCCTTCAGTTTCTCCAAAAGGATACTGTATAGATCTGTATAATAGCCTGTCGCTGATATTCCAAACAGCCTGTAGCCTGTAGCTGATATATATGTATATACGTATCTGAATAGCCTGTAGCCTGTAGCTGATTGTTTTGACTCGTTCCTTCAGTCAGCCGGACCAACCTGTTGGAATTGCTTTTGACCCGAGCCTGAGCCTTCCGATCGAAGCAATGCATTCGGTTTGATCGGTCAGATGCCCTCTCCGTTTGCAGCGTTCGGAGCAGTGGCTGCGAGCCAGGCAAGCACGGGGCACACTGGAATTGACCGGTTGGAGGTTCATTTCAGAGAGAGAACCAGGAGATACCAGGTGTCTTTGTCACATTTTGTCACAAATGATTGACGGTGACATAGTAGGTACTCTCACCGTCTCTCACCAAACCTGGCCACTGTCCCCATGTATTGGCCCTTTTCGGGTACATGTAGTGATGTTGAAGCAAGCTTCATCTGAAACAAGGCATGGGGCATGCCCGAGATAGCGCAGTTAGACTCCGAGTCAATAACATGGAAGGTGACAACATGTGACAACCACCAATGTGTAGAGGACAATGGTGGGCAATTGTCCACTTCCATGAATATTTCAGGCCGGGAGTCAATGAGTGGTATGGTTTGTTCCCTGTACGTGAACACTTTGCTTATGTTTGTGTCACTGGAGTGGGGAACCTCAGGCACTGGGCATGGACCGGAAGGAACCCCGAAATCGGCAGCTGGCTCACCGATCCCCAGAGAAGGGGCTCAAGGGGAGCCCAAACGGGCTGCGCTGTGCCTGAAGCTTCATGATGCAACAAATCCGCTCATGCTTCCAACAACTCAGCAATGGAAAGCCCACCATCCGTGCCCACCTCTTGCGTGAGCTGCTGGCCAAAGTCATGCCAGAGGCTGGACATGGGCTTTTGGTGTCAAAGAGTTTGGGTGGAATATGTTCCAGGAGAGGGCCGCAAGGAGGATCTCAGGCTGACTCCATTTGACACAGTTAGCATTCAAGGGAGGGGTAGGGAAGTGTCCACTTGCATTAGTTGCGGCTTTTTTCTACCCCGGCGAACGTGGTGCTTTCAAGTTTAGCGGCCAATGCAGCTGGGGAAAACGAAGCGGTAAGCCTGATTCGACAATGCTTTTCAGTCAGTTTGTTAGGACAGTTTATCGTGTTGTGCACGTGTGTTTAGCGTTTACGGGTTTCTTGGTCGTGCGGAACCACGTGGCCTCCCGAATCGCTCCGCAGAAGTTCTCTCCGTTGGGGCTTTACTTATTAAGCCTCCTTATAGCCTTTAAACGGCTGAGAGCGCTGGGTTAAGCGACAAGATGGAATGTTTGGAGTTTGCTCTCAATTTGCAGGTGTCCGTCGAGAAGCAAGAAATCTTTCTCAGGCGTTGGTGGCGCGTGGCTGGCGCTCGTGCGCGCGCGCGTGACGTGGAGACCCGTGCCGAGCGTGCCAAATGGCAGGTGGATGTTTGAAGTTTGAAGTGGGTGCAAGTTATAAGCCAACATGCTTTTTCTACGGTCATGAGCTGTTCGATGATGTTTTACCATCCTCATTGAGTGGTTTCCTGACGATGATTGCCATTGATTGGCGTTTTGGTGGGGCTGATGGAGGAGATACATGAGGACACTCACAAGGCGTCACGCAAAAGAAGACGAGGACTCGCACGAGAATGGCTTTATTGCTCTCTCATCAGGCTAGAACATGTCCATGCGAATCTTTAGTGCAAATTTGGTGAGAGCCGTGCTGCGGGCTTTAGCAGAATGCCTTCAGATCTTTTGTCGAGGCCCTTCATAGTCAACGGCGAGACGGAGGAAGTGGACCATAATGCCTTGTTAGGTGCAATTCTGGAGGGAGCCGAAGATGCTCGCGCCAAGGAACTTCAGGACCGTGCTTTTCCAGCTTGAAAAGGCAATCCTTTTGATATTAAAGTGCTTCTTCCACAAGAGCAGATTGCTTTCAACTAAGCTTTCTCGTAAAAAGCTGTCCTCATGGTCCTGGTCATGTTTCGTGGCAGGCGGTACCTTGGTTGTGCTGGGTCGTGGCAGTTTTGCGACTGCACTCTCGCTGTGATGCTGTGCGCATGTTCAGTTCATGTATGTACTTGGTGGCCACTTGGCGTGGCATGTGCAAAGAAATCCTCGTGACAGACGGCAGCTGCTGGGGATCAGAGCAGATTTACTTGGCAGATTGTGGCGGCAGGATGTACTAATACTTTGGACTTGCTGGTGGTCCCTCAGAGGGCACAGTGAATCATGACCTTTGGATTTGTGGCTCAGTTTCTCAAGCTTGGGTCAAGTCTGAAAGCTTCGTTTTGGCATCTAGATTTGTCTGTGGAAGTGGGGAAACACGCTGACACGGGTGTGATTTGAACCTACTAGTGCAATCTAGTGCAGATTTGTTGGCAGGGGCGGCACTTTCTGAACCGTGATGTGCAGATTTTGTTTCAGTGTGCGCTATGTGCGTTCTTGTTTGCTGATGTGTGTTGTGTGCTCTCGCGTGTGTGCTCGTACGTGTGCTTTGCTCTCATGTTTGTGCTGGCATATGTGTGCTCTCATCCCGAAAGTTAGCGTCAGGTAGCTGGAGTTGCTCTTGCTTCAGCAAGTTCTTGGCTGGGGGCTGGAATCGGCTACCAAGTGAATTTGTCACTGCTAGGCCCCGCCCCTCTGGTATTCGAATCCGGCTTGGTCCCTGGCAAGAATTTTTAAGTGTTTCCCACATATAGACCAGCACGTTCCACCGCAAATCTAGATCCAAGCCTTTAAACATGTTCAATAACTTACACGGGACCTCGAACCCCTGCAGATGAAGTGTCCCTGCTGCTTAGTGGCCCTGCTGCCTTCCCCTGGTCTCAAGTGTGTGTGATGTGCGTGCACTCATGTATGTGCTCTAGTGTGTTCGCTTGTGTACCTTCTCAAATGCGAGCTTGCAAGCGTACCCTTTCACATGTTGTGTGTGTGTGCGTGTGGGCTCTCATTGTCATACATCAGGAGGAAGAAAGTTCAGCAACAGCTTCCGGACAGAATCTCATTGAAATGATTCCTTTTTCCCAAAATTTACTTTTGGGAGGAAATCACGCCTCCAGAATTCCACTGCGAGTTCCTGTAGGATTCTGAGGGGAAAGTGTTCTAGGCAGGTCATGTATGTCACAGGCAATTTCATAGGCTTGTTACCAACTTGTCCTGAACGTATTAGTTGGCTCGCTTATGTTACTTATGTGTGCTATCAAAGTGGTGCTCCCATCATCTCCCATTGTTGTGCTCTCTCTCTCTTTTGTGTGTTATGCGTGCATGATCCGCTCATTCCACTTCTTTGCCTCGCTGCTCGCATGTGTGCTCTTAGGCATGTGTTTTGACACCGTTGTGTTCCTGTTTGGGTTCTCCTGCCAGGATATATATATATATATACGTATACATGTATACGAGTATATATATTTATGTATTTATTGTTTTTTGGTTGCACGACCCGAGTTGCAGCTGTATGAGTAGAACAATAAATGCGGAAACCACACTTTGAGGACTTTTGTGGTTAGTGGTTACTACATGTTTGTGCAAATCAATTGCAAACAAACCAATTGACTACCACGGGCAAAGGAACACACTTGGCATTTTCTGCGAGGAACTAGGGGGACCCATGGCAACGCTTTTTTTCCACTCCCACAGGTCCATATGTATACTGTATATATATATATATACATGTGATGACATATGCATGTGTTTGTACATGTTGCAGTACGGTGTATATTAGGCTTTGGGGGGGCCTAATCCCGGCACTGGAGGCCTGATTTCTCCGGCCGGTATGAAAATCGGTGCATTTGAAGGTGGATTTGGGTCCTAGGCTTTTTGGAATCTGGAATGCTTGGGATGGACGTATTCACCCACTGCATAAAGCTGGTATGTATAGTAGATCTATTGCGCACACAAAGCAACAATCCTGAAGCGGCCGATTCTGACTGGGTTTTGAAGTTCATTATCGTTGCTGCGGATTGCACAGAACAATCATGAAAATGGGTCAATCAGCCAATCAGCTGATAAGTTGGCAGCAGTACCTTTGTCTCGCACTCCGTGCCTCCCTTCTTTCAGCGTTCTTCTTCAGGAATGTCGTGAAGAGGTTCATGCTCTGAAAAGATCAATGTCGAGGCAACCGTTAGAGTTCACCGTTGGGCAATACAACATTCTGGCAGGATACATGGGAGTCTTTGAGGCACTAGTAGATACATGAGAGTCTCACCATTTGAGCTTTGTGTGTGTGTGTGTTTTGGCTTCTGAAAAGGCCCTCTGAATGTGCTTTTTGGCCAGCGAACGGTGGATAGAAATATACAGAAATTCAGGGCAACCCGAACGAGCCTGCGGTCCGAATCAATGGCTGAGTGGTGAACACCCAGTGGGCTGCGTTGGCTCCATCGCTCAGGAAACAACATGGAACCGTGGTTCCTCTACGGCATCGAGCTGACTCCTGAGCGTCGCCAAGAGATCTTGAAACTTCACGGCGAACGACGGCCCGATGGAAAACCTGCAAACCCTGGATGGCCCAACTATGTGAAAGGGGTGCTCACACCCGAGGACCAAGGGGTGCTCCATCGACCGGTTTTGCTTGTTGGTTTCCGCCTGGAAGAATCGGAAGGAAAACGGAGACAGTTCATGGGTGCCTAGACCGTAATAGAGAGTGGGTCCACGTCCACAGTAATACGGGCGGATTCAACAAATACTCGTACCTACCAAAATGCAAGCTTGGAAATTCTCGCGAGCGAGCTACTTGGACGAGCCGGGGTGATTCTCTTTCAAGGGTCGGAACTTTCCGGGGCGACACGCTGGTGGACCCATTTGCAATGCCAAGCGGATGAGGTTGGACACGTTTTGGCCACCGAAAAGTAGAAATACTCCGTTCGACGATGCGTCAGTCGACCGAGCAAGGGTGATAAAATGGAGGAACGAAATCATAAAAGTTATCGAACAAGATGAGTGGACACCAACAGTCGTTTTGATTATATTGGCTTATATTGGCCAAGAATTGTTGAAATGAAAGCTGGAAATAGGTATTTGGCATGTGCGGAAGGGCAATGAATGGAATCGTGGATATAATCTGGATATAGATATTCCTTCCTTCAGGAATGTGGGAAGCGGGGCAACCTAAACCTCCTCGAGCTTCAGCTTCCAAACCTTGACCTCGCCCACAGGAGATCAAGCAGGTTGAGGAGGTTCACCAAAACAGTTTCGCCTGGGAGCGGCGGAAAGATCGGCTCTTGGATGTGATCCGGGACATGG